GAACTGCAGAATGCCAGAATAAGAGGGGGATGGCTAGTCCTATTGAAGACCACGCTTCTGGTAACCTCCATCTTGCAACAGGGGAAGAGAGTAGATGGTAAGTTCACCAAGTAACATCGCATAGCATAATCCTAACCGATGATCCTCCCCTCGTCGCCTTGTGAGAGAGCGATCACCGGTTGTATCTGACACTTGGAAGGGTGTGTTTTATTAAGTATCAACTTCTAGTTGTCATAAGGTCAAGGTACAACTTCGGGTCGTCCTTTTACCGAGGGACACGGCTATTTGAAAAGATCAACTTCCCTGCACGGGTGCACCACATAACCCAACACGCTCGATCCCATTTGGCCGGGCACACTTTCCTGGGTCATGCCCGGCCTCGGCAGATCAACACATCGCAGCCCTACCTAGGCACAACAGAGAGGTCAGCATGCCGGTCTAAACCCTATGGCGCAGGGATCTGGGCCCATCGCCCTTTGCACACCTGCACGTTGCGAACGCGGCTGGAGAGCAGACCTAGCAACCTCCATTACAAAGGAAGTTGCGTTACGCGGTCCAACCTGGCGCACGCCGCTCAGTCGCTGACGTCACGAAGGCTTCGGCTGATACCACGAAGTCGAGTGCCCATAACTGTCCCCGCGTAGATGGTTAGTGCGTATAGGCCAGTGGCCAGACTCAGATCAAATACCAAGATCTCATTAAGTGTGTTATTTTGAAATAACCACGGACGCCGACCAGGGCCAGGCCCACCTCTCTCCTAGGTGGTCTCAACCTGCCCTGTCGCTCCGCCTCAAAGTAACAGTCGGGGGCCGTTGGGAACACAGGCCCACCACTACCTGGATGGAGCCACCTGCCCCTTCAGCCCCCATCTCCAAACAGTATCACCGGTAATGTAACAGTGTAAAGTATATAGTATATGCCCGTGATCACCTCCCGACGTGATCATGGCCCAGTAGTATAGCATGGCAGACGGACAACAGTGTAAGTTCACTGATGATAATCTAGCATCCTGTACTAAGCATTTAGGATTGCAGGTAAGGTATCAATAGTTGTAGCAACAATGACAAGCTATGCATCAGGATAGGATTAACGGAAAGCAGTAACATGCTACACTACTCTAATGCAAGAAGTATAGAGAAGAGTAGGCGATATCTGGTGATCAAAGGGGGGCTTGCCTGGTTTCTCTGGCAAGAGAGAGGGGTCGTCAACACCATAGTCGAACTGGCGTCGCCGGCAGTCTCGGGGTCTACCGGAAATAAGTAACGGAGGGGGAACACAATAAATAACAAAGCAATCAAAGCAACACAAGGCATAACATAGCAATATGCGGTGCTAGGTGTGCCCTAACGCAATACTAGTTGATACCGGGAAAGGGGGGAAACATCCGGGAAATGATTCCCGGTGTTTCGTGTTTTCGGACGGACAAACCGGAGGGGGAAATTTTGCATGTTCTCTATGCTAGGGATGCGCGGCGGACGAACGGGTTGCGTATCCGGATTCGTCTCGTCATTTTGAGCAACATTCATGTACAAAGTTTTTCCATCCGAGCTACGATTTATTTTGTATTAATTTAAAAAGGATTTAATCATTTTCTGGAATTAACAGATTTAATTTAATCAAAAAGTAGGTTTACTACATCAGCATGACGTCAGCATGACATCAGCGGTCAACTGTGACCGTTGACCGGTCAAACTGATAGGTGGGGCCCGCACGTCATTGTCTACTAAATAATTAACTTAGTTAATTAGTTTAATTAGTACATCAGTTAGGTTAGTTACTTAATTAGGTTTATTAAACACAATTAATTTAATTAATTAATTAATTAACATTTTTATCTATTATTTTTATTTTAAAATTCTTTTTTTAATGGACGTTCTGGGGCTGGGGCCCCGGCTGTCATTGGGCCAAAGGCCTATCGGGTTCGGGCGATTGGGTGTGGGTGTCACCCGAGCGAGCGCTAAGCGCTAGCGGGCGAACCCGACGGGCGCGGGCGGGGCGTTGCCCGCCATGGGGCTGGGTGAGGCTCTGGCCAAGGCGGGGCTCGCTGGCCGGCGGCGACAGCGTAGAGAGGGAGCTCCGGCAGGCAGCGGCTGTAAGGCGAGGCGAGGCGTGGCGCGCCGACCAGCACGACAGCCGCGGGCGGCAGCGGCTGCAACAGCCGCAGCTTGTAGGCACAGGAGGGCGGTGGCGAGCGTAGGAGGGCGGTGGCGAGCGCAGGCGGTCACGTGGGGGCGCGGGTGCGCAGGTGCAG